TAGGCAATTTATGATGTTGAAAGAGATAACAGAAGTTGAAGCAATAAACAGATTATATGACAATTGTGTGAACAAACTTAAATCACAATAATAGTGCATAACTGTTATTTGCTAATGGCATACAATAGAAACTATTGATATATGTAATAGCAGCATAAAATATCATAATGTTCTATTGCATGATACTACAGCTAAATGATTGCATTATTGGGCAGGCCATTTTTCAACCCTTAAATGCTACATAAATGTGATGATTATTTTAAAATATTTAAAATTATCATCCTTTTGTGAAAGATAAATAAGTTTCACTTCTTAGATAAGGCTACGTTTTTTGAAAACGCTTTCTGGACCCATTGGAATATTTTAAAAATGATTCCAAAGTGATTCTCAATAACTCAAAAGCTATGCAATAAATTTTCAAATGATGTTCTATGGCTCATTAACTTAAGTTTTATAAGCTAAGAACTAGATAAATTTCACTTGTTTTGTTCATTGTATTTATTGGATAGAAGTGTATGATTTCATTTGCCCAGAGAAAACTTAATGGAATTACACAATAAACAAATAAATAAAAGGACCAAAATTTTAAATTGTATTGCTATGAGTAACATTTTAAGACTATTATTGAAACTACCATAATAGTTTTAATTTGGGATTCCCCTCAGAATCTTGTGTTAGTAAAGAAAATTCCCCTCTTCTAAAAAAAATAAAAATAAAATAGAAACTTAGTCTTGATTTTAAAAGCAGACATGCTGAATCAGGAAACATCAGGAACATTTTATTATACACTTAAGTCTTTATCATTACAATGTTTCATAATATTGGTTTACTGTAAGCTATAATACACTGCTGTTTCTTAAATTGTCATGAAGTTTTTGTTCCTTCTGCTTTTTTTTGGTAAACACAGTGAAATATGGTAGGCAATTGCAAGAGGCAAAAAATAGCATGAATCACAATCACTCTTCACAGATGCATCAAAATGTAAAATGTAGATCACCTGGTTTACATATTGCATTCAAATGCATCACCTTGCAAAGAGAAAAATAATATAAAAAAATAATATAAAAGATAATTGAGAAAATAAAAGCAATTGGTATCATACCTGATTGCATAATTTATTTCTTGAAAATAAAACCATATCTCTAAAATAATACTTCCAGGTATCCTTAGTTTGATTGTTTTGAACTTTGCAGATTGATTATCACTTGTTCTTCATTATAAAATGTAGAAATTAAAAAAATGTAATTCATTTCAGGTAAAAGATAATTTTTTTGCAAAAATATTTTAAACAATTTTAAAGCATTTATTGCAAGAATCTTCATTTCACAGTTTTATAAAGGATTCTTTCTTACAAAAACCTTATCCTCAAAATATCCATTTTACTTATTAAAGTTCATAATTATGTAGAAATATTTTCTCAGAAGAATTAGAAGTGATTTTGACAGTTCAAGTCTTGAACAACTGTTTAAAGTATATACTGTACAGCCATTTGCAATTTTTAACTACTGTAATTTCTCTAGATTAAATCAAATGTCCTAGAGGCTGAATTGAAAAGGACAAGCAGTTGCTACACACAGAACAGGGAAGCATAATTGATTCTCTCTGGACTAGGCAAACATCTGGTAGAGAAAGTTAGACATTTTCTAAAACAGCATGGGATATAGAGCAAAAATGTTGGAGGGAGCTGGAATTGGCAACAAATATCTCTCTTCATTGTCCCTTCAGGATTTGCTAATGTATCAAAATTCTTCCCTTCACAAAAAGACTTTTTATCCCATATATTTAATAGTTCACTGCTAATATCCTATTCATATTTGTAAAGCAAATCCAAATAAATTAGGTCCTGCAAGTTCCTTATTACAAAGCAAGCCACAAAAACTGTGATATAATTACTTCTGCACTGGAAAGCAAATCATGCAATGAAAAATTGCATAAATCCCTAATTTTCTGTAAGACTTCTACAATAGACAAAGTATTTAAACCAACATTTATTCCTATATGTGGCCCTACAGAACTATCATATGATTAAATGCATCATATTTAGATACTATGCTATAGTTTAGATAATATGTTTTGCATGACAGATCGGATATTAACGAAAGAGTTCATATAATGGTCCTAATTAAGTGAATGCAAGTTCATTCATGAACTTTATCCTAATATTCTTCAGAAAATATCCGAAATCAATTATTCACCATGAATAATTAGGAGAAATAAAAAATAGTAAATGTTATTTTATGATTAATATTTCTAATTTCTTACTAAAAATAAGTCATTTTCTTTATAAAGTAAGCTGTTATCCTCTAGCAGTACTATCATGGATTGGGAGATGATAAATTTCCTGAGTATATTAATGACTCCAAAAATGAGATGCTCAAATTTAGCAAAGTTAAAACAAAATCACATGTCAACAATAGATTCCCATTAATTACAACATGATTTTGTAGAAAATTATAAAATCACAATTACAACATACTATATTTTGAGCAGCCATTTTAATTTAAAAGAGACAATGTTCTTCATATAAAGCAAGGCTCATTTATAACAGAATTGGCTCACAAAGAATCATCTCATCACAATGAACCACTACAACTAAAACAATGATGATAGAAATGAAAATTCAAAAGCAATACTTTGTACGGAAAGCTGGAAAATCTTACTGAGATTAAGTACTTTACACTACTAAATTACATTGAAAACTGAATTAATATAATATAGTTGTAATTTCAGAACTGAATAATATCACTAGTAATCTTAGTTTCTTACAATACCAAAATAATACTTGACCTTCTATGAAAGAAAAAAGCTTGCATACAAGAATAATAAAGAATAAAAGTTCAACTTGTCTGTAACTCTTCACTTATATGATTAGTATTTTTGATACAAAATCATTTTTGTATATAAATTCAGATTATGCAATATGAATTCAAATAGAATTATTATGCAACATGCAATACTAAAATAGTAATTTCAGAGTAAAAAAATCCATATTAAATAATGAAATATACCCTCAATCTGACATAGTTTGTTAGAACAAGCTTATTTTGCATCCATAAGCAATTTAAAAAGTAGGTATGACCATTTTTTTAAATCTATCCACAATTTCTGAGAATTGCTTTTTATATTCTGTATCATAAACAAAAGAGTTACAGAATACTTTATTAAAAGTAAATCTTTATGGAAAAAGAGCAGTGGAAGTAACATTTGTATTCATTTGAACATTATAGGCAGATATTAGAACCTAGAATCAAATGGAATCCATAAAACGGTAGTATAAAAATGATTGATATAATAGGTTTATTATACTACCAAAACTAGTTAAAATGTTACAAAAGTAACAATCAAAATGCATGTAACTTTAGTTTATATTATCATATTGATCAAAGTACCATGAATGCAATGTAACCTAAATTGTGTTGGACTAGCTACATGCAATAGTTTATTTAATTTTCCTGTACATATTTTCTAGTGTAAAATGAAGCTGAAACATTATTGCTATAATTCCTCTTAAAGCAACAGTTTTATGCTAAAACAAGCATTTATGTAGTAACTGTTTCCTTTTGTGGGCCCAGTTCTGAGTAACTTGATCTATAACTTCATTTTAAATCATCGCAAACAGGCTGCAACACTATAACTGGTTATTAATTAAATGCTATTTGGCTTGCATCAGTTAAACACTTTTCTAGTAAGGAAAAAAGAACATTTTAGCTTAGTTTTACTGTTAAGTATCAAAATGTATGTGTAATTGGCCTATAACTAATGTAACCCAATTATTCCAATGGCTACGTATCATTCTTATTGCAGGCAGAATACATACACAAGTATATATTATTTTCAATCTCCAGTCATTGATTCTTCACACAATCAATAGGTACCGGTATGGTTTTGGCAGAACATAAACCTGCTCTTTACAATGAAACAGAACGGGTCATTTTTGGCAGATTTTAAGTCCATTCATTGCCTACATGCAGCATGAAAGACAAAAAGGAAATGTGACTATTAAGCTTGCCTAACGCTTCTGTTTGTTATTGATCCAGCTGTAAATTACCTCACCTCAAATCCAACCATACTTCCATCTCATTCCATTCTTCTCAATGTATTCATTTTCATAAAACTGTATTGTTTGTACAAAATGGGGGGGGGAGAGAGAGAGCCCACCATCTCCCATTACTAAACTGGCAGCGACTAGGAAGAATATTGAAGCTAAAATTAACCACAATTGATAACAACAGGATATTTATTCATCATCTCAACCAGAGAGAGAGAAAACAACAACAACAAAGGACTATTTACAGAGAAAACGCTTAGCAAAACTAGACATTTTATTTTGTCACTCACCCCGATTCTCCCATTCATACTGAGGAACACTCACACAGGAATATATACATATAACTATATACATATATATGTATATATTTATACATGACATGGTAACTTACAAGCAGATGGAAAGCTGTACCATATAAAGGCGGCAAGGAGGGCCATGAAAGCAAGGGCGCCTGGCAGGACTCTGCTCAACCTTCCTCCCTCCCTCTTTTCAAAAGGCCCCTGATAACGAGGGCTAAGTGGAGCTCCTCATGCCCGCCTCACCCAGTGAGGCCTACGATCCCTGGGGGCATTTTTGCCTCATTTGGTTCCTATTTCGGCTACATTGAAACTAAGCAACTTCCAGCGCCACCGCCGCCAACGGGCCTCTTCCCCTCCCCCTCTCGCGCGAGGTATCCCTCCGCCGAGGCCTCCCAGCTCTTCACAGAGAAAGCGCTTTCTGCCGAGCGAGCTTTACCCGCCCACCCTCCACCCCGCCTCTGCTGCTCCGACATCTTCTTCTTCCCTCCGGTTTTGGAGCCGGCACCCCCCCTCGTCCTTCTCGCCTGCCCCAGCACGCCGAGGACCGGCACCCGAGCCCCTTGGGAGGGCGGCTGGGAGGTGGAAGGCGAGGCGGGCCAGGGGTTCGCGGCCAAGGGGGTGTGCGCGCCCTGAGGGAGGGGGCCGGGACTCTTTGTCGCGGCGGAAGGATCGCGGTCGCTGGCACTGAGGCAAACGGTCAGGAGCAGCAGCAGCAGCAGCAGCAGCAGCAGCGGCGGCGGCGGGTTTTGCTGCGAGTTGTTGTTTCCTCCTCCTCCTGCCCGGGGCTCGAATGGTGGAGCTCCGACTCTCGTTGCTGCTGAAGAAACCGTGACAGCCACTGGGGGAGCGTGCTTTTCAGCTGCAGGGCCCCATCGCCGAGGAGCTCGGCCTGAGCGAGCCGGGCTCCTCCGCTCGCCATGTCCGGGGACGGCGGCTCCAGCAGCGGCGGCAGGCACTCGGCGGAGCTGCGAGCGGGTAAGTGGGGTAGCCGGGCCGGGACTGCCGCCTTACAGGCCGCCTCGCCTCGCCCGGGCTTTCACGCTGTGTGTGTGTGTTTCCCCCCCTTCTCCCCCTCCCCTCTGCAGAGCTCTATTTCCTCATCGCTCGCTTTCTCGAGGACGGACCCTGCCAGCAAGCCGCGCAGGTAAGGAATCGCCTCCGGGGCCGGGCCTGGGAATATGGCTCCTTCCCCCGCGCTGCCCCCTGACCCTCTTCCCCTCTTTTTTGTTGCTCCTCCAGGTCCTGATCCGAGAAGTCGCCGAGAAGGAGGTAAGTGGTGCGGCGCCTTCCCCGCGTTGCTTCCCTTGCCCGCCCGCTTGCAACGGAGTGCCAGCGGCTGCGGCGGCCTCGCCTCCTCCCCCCCTCGCCGGGGGGCGGGCGAGCGCTCCGGGGGCTGCTTTCTGGGCGGGGGGGGAGGAGAGCAAGGAAGGGGGTCCCTTTTAGTGACCGGCGATATCTTTTTTCCCCTCCCCAGCTGCTGCCCAAGCGCACGGACTGGACTGGAAAGGAGCATCCCAGGAGCTACGAGAGCCTAGTAAGAGAAGCGGCCAGGCGGCGTGTTTCGGTGTGATGTGCTAGGGAAAGTTTGCAAGCAGCCCTTTAAAAATTGAATTTCCCGCAATTTTTTTTTTTAACAACTTTAAAAAAAAAATAAGGGCAATTTTTTTAAAAAAAACTCCTGCTTTCTGCCCGAGAACAGGCGAGTTTGTTTTGTTAAGTCGGGCAGGTGTTGTCTCTGGAGTCATCTGTCTGGGGTCCTGCAGTTAGGGTAAATAATAATAATCCTACTAATGCGAGAGAGCCGTAGAGTCACTATGCTAGAAATAAAGGTACGTCATGGATGTTGTGCAGGGAGAGCAGGAGGCGGGAGGGGAGGAGCGAACGAGGCAGAGCTTGTGTGAGCCAACGGGGCCTGTAGGAGCGCTCTCTTGTATGCAGTCCTATTCCACATAACACAATAGGGCTGTGCAATTATTGAGGAACTATAAGCAGTCTTTATAGAGGAAATCTCTGTTTTCCATTTCTTATTTTGCTGAGAAACAAAGCAAAACAAGCTGGAAGAAAAACTGCTTGTCTAACCCTGGCGGATAGTGTTTAAATTACGATCCGCACAGCCAACACTTTCTGTCTGAATTTGGTGGGGGGCAGAATGTTGTTCTTAAACTGATATCGGTTTGACAAAAACAAACACGTGAACTGTTGTGTTGTTTTGAGACACAGTATGTTGTGTTGTTTAGTTTTCAGTATGCACAATTGATCGGTTTATGGTTCTATTTGTCCGTTTTTGATTAGAGACATTTTTTTTTGTTCCACATTCAGGAAGGAATATCTATGGAACTAAACTAAAAAACTTATGGATCTGTGTTAGACTATTGTTTGGGATAGTTTTGAGGGGGATTTTTTTGGATATTTCAAGGAAGTTTTTACTGGCATACAGAATGTATTTCTCTTTACCCCCTGTGCAGCAGAAATGTCAGGAGTTTGATTTTAAATGAAGGGGAAAAGCAAAAGGATAAAAGCAAAATATCTCACTCACTTGTAGAGCAGGCAGGGAAATCTGATTATGGATTTCTTAGCACTTTCCCCCTTGAATTATAATTAGTCATATGTCACATTTTTAGCCAAATAAATTTTATTTTATCATATATAGACAAGCAATGGATTGGATCTAGACTTCTTTCAAGAATCAAGAAAGAGACAAATTTTGCTTGATTCTTTTTCATATGAGTATACCAATGCCTTTAGTTTTTTTTGGTATATGTTGGACAGCGAATTGTGGAAGAATTCTCTCATGGGACATACTGTTAAAAGCCACTAGCCTGACTAGATTCAGCTTCTTCCTCCATCCTCCCTCTGATTCATTATAATGTCCTTGTCTGACAATTGGAAGAAAGTCGCCTGAGTATAAGCTCACATAGAGATATAATGATCTGGCACTTTTGAAGACAGATACAATGTTTCTGAAGCCAATACCTTTAGGTAATTTAATAATACTCACATGAATTTTGTGGTAGTAAAGGCTGATTGTAGAATATATGGCAAAGCAGAAAATTATAGTTTAAAGGGCCTTCTTTCCAATTGGGCATCCTTCTCACAAAAGCTTTTAATTTATTGTTTGTGACAAAGTAGTTTCCTATGAACTAAGTTTGGGCATTATTGGTAGAAAATATTTGTAGAACATGAACTGCTTGCTAAAAATTGGTAAAGATTAAGGGATTGGGTTTATTTTATATTACATCTAAACTTAAGTATGAAGTTAAACTACATGACTTTTCATATATTGGTCTAATTTTAAGGGTTGTACAATTTCACACATTTAGAAGAGGTAGTTTTTGAAATATATTGCCTAGTGATAATACGACTTGAATAGAGTACATAAGTACTGTAAAAAGGAAAGCGAGAAGATAAATGCAAGGTAAAATTTATGTACAGCTGCTTACATTTTTAAAGCAATATTTCGTTGCTGGTTACCTGCTTCAATTTCAGAAATCAGTGACCAATAAGGTGCTTATTTAGTAAAAGATACATTTTAATTTTATTTAGGAATTGTATCACTTCAGTCTAGTTCGCTTAGCCAAGCTGATTGCAGAGCATATTTTAATGGTTATTTAAAACTTAATTTATTAAGAATTGTTAGAACAAAATCTGTAACTAAAGTAATATATTTAGGCCAGAAGTTGTACATACAAGATTTATCTTTTGATTTTTAAAAAATGCATCTTATAAATAAATGCTACTAAAAGTGGTTTTAATCATTGAACATTTTTATGCATTTTTGAGACATTAATCTCTATTCTTATATAAATGTTATAATTTATCATTGATTTAACTTAGTGCTAAATTGTGCAGTTCATGTTAAAAGTTTATTTCAGTTGAACAGCGGTATTATGATCTTTCTTATATAAATAGCATAGTTCTGACTATAAAAATCAAACGAAAGAGCATATATTGCTTTTTAAACAGATTATTTCAGTTTAGCCAACATCTTAATTGGTGTTTGGATTGTCACAAATGAATTAATGTATTCTTGGGCAGTAATACTCAGCTTTACTAGCAAACTTTAGAAAAGTTAAAAGGATAGTGCTGTGTTACATCTATTAATTTCTTTTCACATTTATAAGTATTTTATTGATCATATTACAAAGGAATCATGTTGCAGAAAACCATAAATCTTAGCATGCTACTTAAAATATTGATAAGAACCAGTTATCAGTTCCAAGTTAAGTCAGTGGAACGTTTAGAATATGAGGACAGCTGTTTTTATTATTATAGCTCCAAAATTATAGAAATCTGCAGAATTAAAGTATACATTGTTAATAGATGTTCATCTTCTCATAGATCTGAATGTTTTACTTAATTTTTTAGCTTAGTGATCTGGTTCACATGACCTGCTGAGCAATAATATGAGTTATCTGGGTTGATATGTTGTCGAATTCAGCCACTATAATTTGTAGATCATGGTATAGTGATTTTATGTTATGTATTATTCAAATGCTGAAAGTATTCTAATTTTTTAGAGGATTTGGACACCCATTTTTCTCTTCTCTGTCTTTCAAACTTGGTATGATCACCCCCTCCAGGACATGTTATTTTTTTTAAAAAGCAGCAATGTGTGTGTGCATTCCACCTTTTTCCAAAAGTTCAAGGTGACATACATACTTTCCATAGTTCTACAGGTCTTCGTATGTCACCATTGTAGAGGCTGAAATTCAGAAGGGATTATATAACATACCAATCCAAAACAGTCCATTCTTTTTTTTTCTTTCTTTTTGAAGCGTTGGAAAAATTCCACATGCACTGAAGTACTTGTCTTGAAGTGTTAGATAAACAATTGCATGGTTTTAATGCAACATCTACATTAAATATTGATAGTTTTCTTCTGTAGGCAGGAAATATGTATTCTTTCTTAAGACCTGGTACTTTAAAGTGGTGAAAATGAAACTAATGTAAAATAAGCTTTTAGGAACTGTTATCAAAGTTAATAAAGACAAAAAGTATGAAGAGAGCTTAGGTGTGAAAGCTAAAAATCAGAGTATATAAAGCCTAGTGGAAAATCCATTTTACAGAAAGTACATTGTTGATAATCTGAAAAACACAGTGAGGCAAAATACGTACTACCATTAAAACCAAACATGACTGCATAGACATGGTCTCCCCCTATGCATCATTTTTAATCTTTCAAAATATTTCCTAGTATTTCCCAGTGTGTTTTGTTGTCTATGTGCATTTTAAAGCAAAAGGCTTGTTCATATTCACCTACCTTTTTTATATTCTAAAATAGTTTGAGGCTCCATGTGGGATCTGGTAGCATGGTTGGAAGTAAACAGCTTTAGACTTGAGCTTCACTTTGATGTATTCCAATTACTGCCTAGTTATTTTAATTTCAAGAAAAAAGAAATGGTTCAGGAACTCTATTAGAACCTAGGGGGAAGTACAGAGATGCAGTATTGTCCATAGACACCAGATTAGGTCTGTATGTTTGTGAATTGGAGGCTTGTTACTTTTTATGTAGTGTTCACTGCTGTTAAATTCTTTACAGATATGTTACATTGTAATAAAAAGAAATTGTGATATGGAGAGTAATTTACTTATTCTAAATGAATAAAATGCTGCTACTGTGAAATATTGCTAAGAATACTTTTTATCTGCCAGTCAGTGGAAGTACAATATTAATTTAAATGTAACTCCCTGGACACTTAAAGTTTGAGGTTTCAAGAGATCATTTTCACCATATTTTGAGAGTGTATGTAAGGAAGAAATAATTATTCTGTCTGGTTCTGTGAGTAGATTTGGCTTTACAGATATTTAGCTTCAATTCTTGATTTAGAACTTTTTGAATAGCTAGCAACTTTTTTATAACTTAAAAGGTAAATATAGAATAAGTACAATCTTGCACATGCTCACATTATTTAGAGCCAATTTCTTGTAAAATGTGATTTAATACTATGCATGCATCATGATTTCATTTTTCTTAAATGATTCATAGTCTACAACTATTCTTGCTTATTATAACAGCAATTGATAAATGAAATCCAAGCCATCAGCTTACATTTATAATTTGGACCTCTTGATTATGTTTCCTGAGGGAAAAAAAGTTTTCAGAGTGCATCTCAGATCTTGTATATTAGTTGCCAAATTTTGGGAATAGACATGGACAACAGGTAGTTGAGCTGGCCAGAAAGGAAAACTTAATCCTTTGGTCTGGAGTTTGTGCAATAGAAAGAACATATTGGACCAAATTCACACTAGAACGTTTCATTATGTCCCCCTTATTGTGAACAAAATATGAACAAATGGCATATCCATAGAATTTCTTCAGATCAGCTAGCTATTTACATATTCACAATCCTGCTTTGCAAGGAAATCCAATAGCATCTGACAACTTGGATTTATGTAGGGAAAATCTGATCCTAGTAGAGACCCTAATTAGGTGAAATGCTAAATAGATAGGACCTGGGCAAGAAAAAAAATTAAGACTGGCAAGCTAAGCTAAGGATAGCTGAAAATACAACTAAGGGCAAAACTTGTAGTTCA